TGAAAGTAATAGAACCAATTTAAAGTAATACTTACTCTATGGGTTGTAATCTTAAAAGGAACGCCAAATCATCTTTCATGTTGAATTGAAGTAGTTGAGGAAATGCTCTGTTGTTTGTCACATCATAACTAATTTGAAAGTATTCTCCTCGTCTGACAATAAGTTTAGTGTTTGGACTTAACTCAATATCTACTGGAGGAGGTACTATAACAACACTATCAACCTTAGTTAGATTTGATACGCGAGTAAACACTTCACCTAGAAAAAAAAGATTCATTAGCTTTTTATTCAGATTGTAACTCAAGAAGTGTCTCTTACCTGTGCCTGATTGAATTTCCTTACCATTAGTATTATGACCCATTGTTTCAACAAGGAGAGGCTTTCCAGGAGCCAGTGCTTCAACTTCCCACTCAGATTTTGTGCTAGTTAACTCAGCTTCACCATTTGACACGGCTCTTCTTGTCATCTGCCTGGTCTTGTTATTTTCTGTAGTGCGAAAGGCTGACCCAATTTCTTTCCCTGAAATATCTAGTAGTTTTACAGAGCTGATAGATACTCCATTAGGTTCTTGCAGGAGTACTTTCTTCAATGTCTCTGAAAATATGAAAAGTAATTACCATTTAAATATTATAATTGGAGCTTTAACAGAAAATTATGCATTCTAAGATAACAAAATGTTTGCCTGCATGTAGTGTACACATATTGAAGTGGTTGTTGTGGCTGCTGTGTTTATTTTATTGCGTGGGACAGCTTGCACATGCCATATAGGCTGCTTATCAGACCAGTTTCGTTTACTGCATTTTTCTACGTCACTCAACCCCCGAGCGCGCGCTGCCCTGTTCAAAAGAACGGGTCTCGTCACCTCGCAGATTTGGTCATTCTTTACCAAGATACCAAGCCATGGACCCGTCGGAAGGGACTTTGGACTTCGCGCGCGAGGCGAGGAGTCTGTTGAGTACGTTGAGTGAGTCACAGGGCACCCGCGAGCACGCGAGCACCCGCGACCGTCCTCCAAAATACGGAACATGCGGCGATGGCGAGCTCGTGGCGGGTTCGCGCCCTAGTTATTTCATTTTGAACCCTAATTTTGTGCTGGCGCCGGTGACACAAAGCACAACCACACGACCCCAAGGAATGCAATTAATTAGTCATTGAAAATCGAGTATTTTGCACCGTGCTTGTACTCCCACTCCCTCAATCAACGTTCAGACCCTCACGACTACACGTTCAGTCATTGGGACCCTCCCCGTATGACCCCCTCTCTCCTTTCTCTCCTCCGCCTTTCGGCAGTTTGTTTTGGCGTTAGAGCGATTAGTATGCATAGATGGATGGCTGGATGATTGACATGGGCCGGGCGATGATGTCACAGGCCGGAGATAATGCCAAGAAATACTACGGCAGGTTATTTAGGAAGGGGAGGGATAAAGCGCGAAGAGGGGGGGGGGGCACTCGCGTCTCGCGTGGCCACCATCCCATCCCAATCCCATCCCGTCGGCTAGTCCCTCCCGGCGAGGCTCGCGCGAAGGACGTTCTAGCAGCGTCCGAGCTCCCCACACGGCGCGGGGCTTCCACTCGGGGGGAATTTGCGCGTAAGTTTGGTCGGAAACGAACTTTGTCGTAGCGTCAGGTTTATGCCGTTTGCGTGCATGCGAAACGATCGAGAGTGGTCGAAAAGCATAGTGCGGCGAGAAAGGGAAACGGTGAAGGCAGGACTATCGTGTGCGGGGAGACTGTTGCTCTATAGGACTGATGCACAATGACGTTGAAGGCCAATTGAAAATTTCCCTTCCTGATATGTTAGGGCGAGACGGCTCTCAAGGGAAGGAGGTGTGCGCGGCAAACGAGGAATGGCAGGGTGCGGTTAGGCGCATGTACTGTATGTATAATTGAGCAGTGTTTACCAGTTATGGGAGCCGATGGTGCGGCGCTTACGTGTTATCGTGTGATTGTGTATATTTTTCAACCCAATCTCGCGCTGTGCAGCGTAAGTGTAAACCCCCCGCTCGGCGCCCTATCGCGGACGCAACTAGATGTTGTGCGAGGTGGGGGTGAAGGCCGCTGCGGCGTTGCGGCCCGACCCGGCGCCGACCGGCCGACGCGGTATTGAGGGGAAGCGACTCTCGCGTACAACGGATTACCTGTAAAGGGTTACCCCTTGGGGTTACCCCTTGGGGTTACCCTTTGAGGGTTACCCCTTGAGGGTTACCCTTTGGTATCGGTGGGATGACTGTCTCATCTCACCTGTTTGTCGGCGCCGTGCTCGAGGGGTGACGAGCGCCTCATCTGGAGCCACCTCCAAGTAGGCCGTCACGTCCAGGCCGCTGAGCGCTCGCACCTCGACGTCGGCCGGGCCGGCGCCAGCGTCGACCGTCCACCGCCCCGCGCCCGCGTCGCGCGCGTCGAGCTGCCGCCGGTCGAGTGACAGCACGCTGCCGCCGTCGCTCGCCGCCGCCGTCGTCCAGGTGCCGCCTGCGTTGGCGCGAAGTGTACGTTAGAATGTGTGGCTCGCTGTTTCCACCAAAGGAGTACTGCACTCAGTAAAAATCGGTGACCCCCCCCCCTTTCCCCCTCCAGGGACAAATCAGAAAAAAATAATGAAAATTAGATAAAAACCCAGTTACACAAACAGAAAAAAATCACGAAAAACAGAGACAGCCGGTGTACGCTTGCGTTTATTGTTAGTAAAGGACCCTGCTCGCCTCCATCGCCACATCGCGTTGGAGTCTGGCCGGGTCCGGGCCGTCGTTGTCGTTGCCGGGTCCCAAGAAGGGACCGCCGCTGGGAGGGGCGAAAAAAAACCACACGCATGGACCGTATTATCTGACTCCACGGCCGCGCCGCCCGACCGCGACGGATATGGGCTCGAGAAGATGACACGAAGTGTCATCCACGGAACTCAACTTGAACTCAGACAAACTGCTCTGTTGAGACGGACGTATTTTCGCGGCACGCGCACACCTGGTTACGTCTAGTTCACTGTTATAAATATGACCGTCCATTCGGCATTAATCAAGAGATAAAGAAAAGACTAATTTAGTTCCCCCCAAAACGTGGTGTGCACTGTACTCTCGCGAGGCTTCTTTGGATCCCGGCCGCGATCCTTTTGCACAACGCGGAGCACCTTGGGGAGTGAGTACAGTGCACCGGCCGCCCCGCCCCACCCCGCACTATTGTATTTAGCGAGATGGACGCCAGCCTTTCGCCCCGCTGTTCCCGCGAGCTGCAGTTATAGACAAGGAGGCGGGGAGAGGCTGGCGGGACGGAGACAGATTTAGCTCCGCGACTCGCAAGGCGGGGTGCGGCGGGTGGCGTGGCGGGCAAGGTCGAGGAGGCCAGCCAGACCGTGGCGGGCGGGCTAGCGGGGCGCGGGCGGCCGCGGGGCTTCTGCGGGGGTTACCCCGCGGGTTCACCCAGCTTCACCCACACTCACCCTCGGGTTCACCCGCTTCACTCACACTCACCCGCGGATTCACCCGCTTCACCCAACCCACACTCACCCTCGGGTTCACCCGCTTCACCCACACTCACCATCGGGTTCACCCGCTTCACCCACACTCACCCTCGGGTTCACTCGCTTCACCCACACTCACCATCGGGTTCACCAGCTTCACCCACACTCACCCTCGGGTTCACGCGCTTCACTCACCCCGGGGGTTCGGTTCACCCGCTTCACTCACCCGATGGCGACCGCAGCGTGGCGCGGGAGCCTGGTTGTCCGCGCACCCGCACCTGCAGCGCCTGCACGCTGCTGTCCACCTGCACCTCCAGGGGCCCCGCCAGGTCTCGGCGCACCGCCAGCGTGACCTCCCTGACGGCCTCCTCGCGGAGCTGGGCGGCCGCCGTCTTCTCGACGAGGTCCCCGCACCCCAGCGAGCCGCCCGTGGCGCGGGACACGTTGGTTAGCGCCTGGTACTCGTTGCAGCTGCCGAGGGTCCACGCGTCCAGCTGCGGCAGGAGGTGGGCGTCATTGAATGTCCCTTCCATGTGCACCTCCAACCGTGCACACATGTACAGGACTCACCTCAATACCGCTCGACTTGAGCGCTCGCGCCACGTCGGCCACTGCGCCTGCCTCGCCGTCGGCCCCCTTGGCGCCGTCCTCTGTGACCAGGATGATCCTCGTTCCTCGAGGGGCGACGCCGGCCACGCCGAGCACCGCGTCAAGGGGCCCCGGTCCGTTCCCGCGCCCCTCCGCTTGCGTCTGCGGAGACAGAGCCACGGCGGCCACGGCCTTCTGCAGCTCGGTCCAGTTGGGGAGCAGCTGCGGCTCGGACACACCTGCAGGTGGGAGGGGACGGGCGGTGCTCAGTACCTTTGTCGGAATGCCAACCTTGAACGCTCTGAGCACACGCAATATGCACGCGGCGCGGGTCAAACACACAAGGATAAGGACCGAGCACACACACGCATGGAGTCGATAAGCTCGTCGATGCACCGTGCCCCTTTTTTGAGGAGTGGGAGCGACGCGCTTTGTTGGACTATTTCAAACCAAACCTTCTCGGTACCGCCAGTCTATGGCGGTGATATCTTATCTCCGGAATCACTTCACGGGCCGGAAGCCTTTGCCTCGCGTCCCGCCTCGCTCCACACTGGCGTTCTTATAACGACACTTTTTGCGGAACAACTGATCGCTCTGTACGGGCTGTGCTCCGCTCCATGTGGTGCGAGCGCCTGTGACGTAGGCAACGCGCGCGCACCGCCGCATCTCTGACAAACGGTTGCCTACCTGCACATTCACAGGCGCTGTCGCCAAGAGGGAAAAAAAACAACTTATAAATTGTGCCACTTTAGGATGATCTTCCCCCGCGGCTTTTCAATGTGCGTCTTCGTATTTTCCGGACTAGCGCAACACCCACTTCCTGTGGGGACCTCTGGCAACCTGCTGGGATGGGCCTTTTCTTAAGTGGTACATGAGTGACATAACATCTGAATCCTTCAGAATGGGCCCTTACCTACAGAGCTCACGGATTTCCGATCGCATGACTCGAATGACGGCTATCGAAGACATGATAGCCACCACCAACT